GCTAAGTTCAGGTAGGTGGATAGATGAGAGAGAGAGAGAGAGAGAGAGAGAGAGAGAGAGAGATAAAGAAAGATGGATGGATAGATAACAGAGATATAGGTACATATAAGATAGAGTGGATAGCTAAAGAGAGATGGATGCGTAGAGTGGATAAGTAGAAAGATGGATAGACAGAATGGATATATAGATAACAGAGAGATAGGCAGGTATAAGATAGCTATAGAGAGTGCATAGTTAGAAATGGATGGATAGAATAGATAGAGCACTTATTAAGCACTTTCTGTATGCGAAGGGCTATGTTAAACACTGAGGATACAAAAATAAACAAGCAAGACCATCCCTGCCCTCAAGAAGCTTCTGTTCTAATATGGGAAGACAATGCATTGGGGGGGTCTGCTGTAGCCAGTTTGAACCAAGGACAGGTGGTTAAATTTTCAAGAAATTGGCAAAGGCTACATATCAGAGCTTGATTTATTCTTTTGTTGATTGTCTAGACTTAAGAAAATTATGGAAAGAATGTTAATAGGGCAGATTAAACTTAAAAGCATCTTGTCCTGGAGAGCCAGTTGTTAAACATTTCTCAGCACACCCCGCCAGGGTTGCTGGCAAGGGGGTGGGAGTCCACTTCTTGGGGAGGTTTGTAGAACCAATTTTGTTTCAGGGTGGAACCAGAAGAGCCTACTAGGTCTCTTCCAATTCTGAGATTCGGTAACTGTAAAGAAACCTGGAATATTTGGGCCGCAGGAGAGAAGACTTGAGGGAGAGAGGAGGATGAAATCCCGGTCTTCAAGGACCTGGAAGTACCTCTTTGGGAAAGGAGATTCCACTTGTCTTCCTTGGCCCCTGAGGGCATGCAGCTGAGAACCCTGGATCGAAGTTGTGGATTTGGGCTGAAAAGAGAGAACTTTTCTAAGAATTTACAGCCACCCTAAAGGGGAAGAGGCTGTTTCAGGAGGCTGTTGCTCCCTATTGCCAGAGGCTGTTTGGAACGTTGTCCCGGGGGTTCTTGTTTCGGTACACAGTGGACTAGTGGCCTGTGAGGTCCCCTCCAGCTCTGAAATTACCTTTGTGACTCTGGATTATATGTGACTGGACCTCAGTTTCTCCTCTGCAAAATAAGAGGGCCAGAGTAGATGCCTCCTAAAGACCCCTTGGCTCTCCATTTTCTGCTTTCAAAGAGAGGACTGAAGGCATGGACCTTCTCTCCCAAGCCACCGATGATACCTAGAGAAATAACTTCTTCCTTTGGAGTACATGGTTTTGCTCTTTTTCTGGGAGGGACACTCTGAGGCCATTCAATCCAACCCCCTTCTTTTATAGATGAACAAATCGAGGATCAGAAAGGTTAAGAAGCTTGTCCAGCAGCTAAGTGTCCGAGGCAGAATTTGAACTTGGGTCTTCGTGACTCTAAGATCCAGAGCTCCATCTTGATGATGATGGAGCTCTGGAATTAAGAGTCAGGAAGACCTAGCTGGGGCTGGAATTCTCAGTCCCTAGCCTTACGCCCTCAAAACAATTTAATTCACAAAATATTTATTAATAGCTTATTACATGCAGGCAGTGGGAGTGGATAGAGGAGTGGCCTCTGAGAGTCAGAAAGTCCCGGCTTCTGCAGAAGCAGTATTTGAACCTAGAATCCAGACTCCAGACCATGGATCTAGCCTTGTGATTCTGTTTTTCTTAAACCCTCTACTAAAGCTCTCGGATGCTTTATCGTGGGTTAGGAGTGACTCTCGAAGAGGCTAATCTGGGAGTTTGTTTTGCTTGATTACATGTTTGTAACAGCTTGGTTTTTCTTCTCTTCTCCACGGGTGAGAGAAGAGAAGGTAGGAGGGAGAGAATTTGGAACTGAAAATAAAACTGAATTTTAGAAATTTAAAAATTAAAAAAGAAATGGCCTCGGGCTCCTTGGAGGTCAGTGCCAATGGGGTGTGTACACTTGCACTAGATACTAAGTACTTCTTGTACTAAGTTGGAAAGGCTCTGAGTATGGGTCCAGCTGCCTCCATGGTCTCTTCTGGCACGTGAAGCTCTTTGCAATTTGGTGCCGTCTCCTTTTCCAAGGTTTTTGCACATCCCAGCCAAAGTGGCCTGTTTGCTGTTCCCCATCCATCCATCCATGGGCAAGGGGGGTGTCCCATATCCCACAATGTCAGTTAATGTAATTAAGACCCTCCATACATGATTGACTTTATCAGGAGAGCTCATCTCTTTAGTTGATTCAATAGAATTATTTAGGAATTTAGTAATTTACACCTAGCTCAAGTCTTTGATTTTATATCACAATCAAAGAGCCACTTTCACCCAGAAAAGATATCAGCTTAAAACATCATATCAGTTATATTAATTGGGGTTGAGAAGGGTGAGATGCCCCTACTATGCCTTTGTACAGACTGTGCCTCATGCCTGGACTGCCCTCCCTTTTCACCAATACCTCTTGGAATCCCTTGCTGCCTTCAAGGTTCAACTTAAGTGGCATCTCTGTTGTTGTTTTTGTTTGTCCTTCATTTTTGAAGAGGACCAATGACATCATAGGGTAACATCTTGACTTGTGCATGGATTGGACTTAAGTGAGGCCAGGTAGGTGGTGCCATAGTGCACAAACCACTGGGATCCAATCAGGAAGACTCACCTTCATGAGTTCAAATCTAGCCTCAGACACTTACTAGCTACGTGACCCTGGGTGAGTCACTTCACCCTCCTTGTCTTCCTTTCCTCACCTGTAAAATGAGCTGGAGAAGGAAATGGCAAACCTTCCAGTATCTCTGCCAAGAAAACCCCAAATGGGGTCATGAAGAGTAGGACACAACTGAAAAAACAGCCCAACAACAGCAGAGGATAACTTGGGTGACCTGGGTTTGAATCTCGCCTCATACACTTCATAGCTGGGAAAATCACCTAATCTCTCTGGGTCTCAGTTTCCCTCATTTGTAAAATAAAGGGGGTTGGTTTATCTTGCAGCTCTGAATACATGATTCTATTTTCCATGAACAGTAACGGAAAAGACAGGAAGACTACTTGTCATGGCCCTGCCTTGGTATTTACCCAGGGAGTCCAGTAAACCTTACCCTGACAGACCCAAGACTGAATTAGCAGCTTGAATCAGGTCCCTCTCCTCTCTGTCCCCTACCCCCCAGCCTTCATCTTAGTCTTATTCCTCCCTCTGAGTCTTTGCCCATGCTGTTCCCACCACTGGGAGTGCCATCCCTCTTCTCTCTGGCTCTGGATTTCATGTCACTAGGAACTTTGTTTGGGGGGGGTTCTATAGTTTTTCCTCCTTGGTGATATCCCCCTGACTCTTTCTGGGAGGGGGGTAACTAGGGTGCTCTCCTCCGCGTCTACAGCCATAGCATTGAGGGGTGCTATGCTTCACCTTCAGGCATCTGCTGCCACTGAAATTCTGAGCCTCTGTCTGGCCTGCTCTACCAGCCTGGTATGTGGGATATGGGGCACAGCTTGTCTGGGCCTGTCTGTGCTACCCCAAGCCTTCCCAGGCATATTCTCCACAATAGGAGCATTGTCACAGGAAGAAGGGGCCATGGCGTGAGCCAAGAAACCCTTTCCTGGGAGTTTTAATCCCCTTCTTTGGGTGGGGGACACCCTGTCTATCCCCCACCATACTGCTACACCTTTATGGCCTCATCTCTGACATGGTCAGTTACCAGAATGGCCACATTGCCCTGAATGTATGGTTTCTTTCCTCCATCAAACCTACACTCCCAAGACCTGAAGCCGCTTATGAAGAGAATCTGACTTTTTCTTTCCAGCCTGAGATACAGAGGCTGTTGAATTGGGGCAGGGGTGTTCCACTTATGAGTAGGGCTGGTTCTTATCAGACAAATACAGTAGCCTGGCAAGTTTGTCCTTGACAACACTGTTTGTTTTCTGCCCTCTTTCAACCTTGGGCTAGCTGCCCACGTAGTCCATTGTGGGCCAGGGCTAAATAATGCCAAATTAAATTACACTGTCTGGAGTCACACAGCTAGGAAGTGATAGTTACATTAGCTGGTCCTCCAGCTTCTGCATTCTAGGATTCAAAGGCCCTAGGATTCTAAGATTTGCAGATACTAAAATTCTAGGATGGTAGTGTACTATGATGCTAGGATTCTGGGGTCCTAAGATTCCATAGTTTTAGCTCTGACATATACTGGGTGTGAGACCGAGTACAAATTACTTCTAGAGTTTTTCAGTGTTCTAGGAAACTCTTCAAGACTATAAGTTTTGTAAAAAGTGCCAACTGGCTTTGGTAGAGGGAATTTTCTCATAGGGGAATTCCTTATATTAATGAAATCACAGGATGAGTCCCTGTTCTTATCCCTATGAGTCTAGGATTCCAGGATGCCAAGGTTGTTGGATACTGAGATCTTGGGATCTTAAGGTTCTAAAATTTTATGAGTCTTGTGTTCTAAGATGCAAAGATGATAGAATTCTGTGGTTCTGAGCGTCAATAATTTTAAAATTCCAGGACACTATAATTCTAGGATTCTAAGACACTGGGATTTTAAGATTCTAGAATTCTAAGAGTCTCATCCTAAGACTTCTGATGTACATTTCTATAGTTCAGGGGTTCAGTAATTCTGAGGTTCTAAACTTATTTTGTTCTAGTGTAGCCTCCCCTCTGTGATATTCTCTTTCTTGGCACCTGCCCTTTCTGCTTCAGTCTCCAAAAGGAGGCTACTACTACCTCCATGGCTCTAGGATAAACTTATTGGGTTGTACTCCTATTACTATAGCTCATGAGCCCCCACTAATAGCGCTTCCTACTAACAATCAGCCAGTTGACATAATTAGCTTTTAGCAAAAGCATTTACTAAGATGTCATGTAAGAATAGTAGATACAAAAGGTCTCCCCATAAACCTGGTGCATACTTTTCAATAACTGTACACAGAAATCATGAAAAGAGTGGGCATGAACTCTCAAATTATTAGTGAGACACAGATAGGATATGTGTGTGGCAAAGGTAACTTAAGAATACTGAAAGCCCTTTCCCTCTTTGCAGAGCCCTCATGGTTCCCAAGATCTCTTCCTCTCCATATCCTGACTTTTAATTGCTGGGATCACACTTGTTGAAGCTGCTTCCTCACTTGGGTAACTATTCTCTATATCTATATTTGTCTGGAGTGTATATCTCTACTCTCCACTAGATGTAGTGTCTCTTTCTGGCCCAATAGTTCCCCTTTGTAGCTTTGTAGAACAATATGTATATGTGGGGGGCAGAAGGGGATCTTTTCCACAGGGGACTCCAAGGTTGTAAAGTCTTAGAACTCTTAAACTGCTGGATATGGTACCTCCTCCTTTGCTGCCAAACACTAGAGACAAATCCCTTCTCCACCCAGGGTCTCATTCCACAACTGTTCCTAGTCTTCAAGTAACTGTTGGTATGGTGGATAGAGTATTGCTCCTGGAGATGGTAAAACTTGAGTTCAAATCCAGCCTCAGATATTTAGTAGCTGTGTGACCCTACGCAAGTCATTTAACTTCTGTTTGCCTCAGTTTCTTCAACTGTAAAATCAGGATAATAATAGAACCTACCTCAAAGGGTTGTTGTAGAGATCAAATGAGATAATATTTGTAAAAAGCACTCACCACAATGCCTGGCACATGTTCACATTCAGTCATTTCAGTAGTATCTGGCTCTTTGTGACCCCATTTGGGGTTTTCTTGGTAGAGATGGTTTGCCATTTCCTTCTCCACATAGTAGGTGCTTAGTCCTTCCCTCACTTGACTGTCTTGAATCCTCAGGACTTATCTATTTAAATCTGTTAGAAATGTGACTAGTTTGTTTTCTCAGTCAATTGACTCAGTTAGAGAGGTTTTTGAGCCTCATAAAGGGATCAGGGTGTAGACACATTTTCCTTTTATTTTAAAACCTCATCATGCATGACCACATCAACTGAGCTGAGGTGGAGGGGTGTTGGTGAATCACATCCCCTCTCCCTTTACACTAGCATTATAAGATTATGGAGTTCTAAAAAAGCACGTATCCTAGGATTCTGGGATTCTAGGATCCTAAGATTCTTGGATTGTGAAATGAGAGTCTTTCAGGATTCCAGCCTTCTTTCTAGGATTTTAAGTCTAGTATTTCAGAATAAGGATAATAGCAGATATTTATATAATGCTTTAAACCCTCATGTTGCTCAATACCCATTATCTCAATTGAACCTTTACCATCCTGGGAGCTAGGAGCTCCAGGTGTTATTATAGAAAGCATGGGATAGCAGGTCTGGAATCAGAGAGCTGGGTGTACATCCTCTATCTGCTGCACGTGACGTTGGGCAAGTAACTTCACCTCTCCAGACCTTGATTTCCTCATTTGTAAAATGTGGGATTAGATTAGAAGGAATAAGGTTTCTTCCAGCTCTAAATATATGATCCTGTGACCCCCATTTTGTACCTAGGCAATTAATTCCCAGGGCAGATGAGTGGCCTGCCCATGGACACACAGGCAGGATTTGAACCCAGATTTTCTTGCCTCGAGATCTCCCCTCTCAAGGATAAGGGAAGGTTGACAAGGATTCTAGGACATAACTACTAAAATGTTGAACTGAAAGGATAAAATTCTAAGGTTCTCTGAATACTATCAATGGAAGCTTGTACAGGGGAAGGGACCTCTGCTTTTCTCCTTTCTGGCCTCGGGGCCTCCATGGGGATGCCAGAGGAGGGTGGGGTCTGGGGCTGAGGGCTACATTTCCTGGGCCCTCCTATTTGCCCAGAGGCCCAGAGGGGGAGGAAGGGAGGGACATTTGGAAGTGCAAGCTGTGGCTTGTGGTCCTTGCCTCTAGAAGATTGGGGAGGGAGCAGAGCTCCAGATATCAGGAAACCAAGGGATAGAACAGAGGGGAGGAGAACTCAGCCTATGTTTGAAGAGGGTGGGGGAAAGAGTCCTACGGACCAGGGATAGGAGAGAACAGCTGCTCCTAGAAGCTGCCATCATCCTGCCTCAACCCCATCCCCACTTCCCAAGGCAGTTTGGGGACCCAAATCCTATAATGTAAGACTTTATATTTCTTGCTGGCCCCAGTCTGGGGCAGGCTTAATATTAGGTCCAGGCTTCCTCATTCTGGACAGTTTGGCCAAACCTCTTTTCTTCTTCGGCCTTCCTCCTGACCATCCTCCTGTTAAAGACCTTAGCTTGAAAAGCAAGGTCTCCCACACTGCATCTGGGGCCATCTCCAGCCGTCCTGATCTATGTCTGGCCACTGGACCAGATAGCTGCAGATGAGAAAGTGAGGCTGGTGACTTTGCACAGCCCTCCCTCACTCAAATCCAATTCACTTGCAAGTCATGGCATCACCTCCCTGATGTCATGGTCCTCTTTGAGAAACAAAGGACAAGCAGCAGCAATGCTAAAAAACAAACAAGCAAAGAAAAAAAAAAAACTTCTACTACAGGGGTGGGGAACCTGTGGATGCACTTGAGGACCTAGAGGGCCACATGTGACCTCGAGGCCACAGGATCCCCAGCCTTGCTCTATTACTTAAAACCACTTTCCATCAGGAAGCTCACAGTCTGATTGGAGAGATAAGATATGCACAAATAAGGGGGAAAAGGTAGAACATATAAGACAATTTCTGTTCTCTATTAAGTGAATGACCAAGTCAGTGGTCCAGGAGCTCCTAGGAGGGAGAGGCTGGTGGGACATTAGGGAAGGCTGCCTGGAGGAGTGGGGCTTAGATCTGGGCTTGGGGGAGTGGGCGTGGTTTCAGCAGTTGGAGAGAGGTCTTGATAGGGGGGAAATAGTCTGATTTTGCCTCTTGTCCTGAAATACAGGGAGAAGGTCCTGGAGCCAAATGAGGCCTCAGTGACGCACTGGAAAAGAGGACTAGATTTAGAGTCAGAGGACCTGGGTTTGGTCACTGACTGTGTCAGTCATTTATAATATAATCATTTATTAAGTGCCTACTGTGTGCCAGGCACTGCATCAAGCCCTGGGGATACAAAGAAAGGATAAAACATGGTCCTTGCTTTCATAATCTAATGGGAGAGACAACATGAAAATAACTATGTGCAAATGAGTTATATGCAGGGGGACGAGAAGGAAGCCTCTAGCTGCGGGACCTTAGACAAACTCCTTAACCCTCTCTGAGCTTTAGTCTGAAAAATGAAGGGGGTTAGACTAGGTGCCTTCTAAGATCCTTTACAATTCTAAAGTAATGATTCTCTATGTGAGATTCAGGGTGGGGTGGGGGACACAGCTAGGATAGAGAAGAGAGAGCCCCAGGCCTATAGTCAGGAAGACCCGAGTTCAAATCCAGCCTCAGAAACTTACTAGCTGTATGACCCTGAGCAAGCCATTTTACCCTTTTTGCCTCAGTTTCCTCATCTGTAAAATGAGCTGGAGAAAGAGATGGCAAACCACTCTAGTATCTTTGCCAAGAAAACCCCAAATGAAGTCAGAGGAAGTCAGATACGACTAAAACGACTGAACAATAACAACAAAAAAAACCAAAACTTCAAGGAGTTTTACCTCAAGAAAGTTTACATTTTTCAGGAGGTAAGAGATCTCAACCAGGATTCCAGAGGATCGATGATTTAGCACATCACCCATGTTCTGATGGAGAAGTGCTGGACTCATGGTGCAGAATGAAACACATACTCTTTTGGACATGGCCAATACAGAACTTTGTTTTACTTAATTATGAATATTTGTTACAAAGTTTTATTTTGATTTTTAATCTCAATGAAGGGAGAGTAAGGAGAGAAAATAAATGCTTGTTAATTTAAAAAAAGGCATCCTGCCTCTATCCTGTGCTGTACTTTTTCTTTCCACCTGAAAGAGAAAAAAAATAGCATCTTGTTAACCATCCACACTTCCAGCTGCCTAGACGTTTCACCAGTTCCAGCTCCCAAATCCAAGAGGTGTATGTTTCCCAGGAGTATATTTGAAGTGAAGGATGTGCTGTCATGTGTGCAACAAGTCACTTTACCACTCCAGGCCTCAGTTTCCTCTTCTGTAAAAGAAGGGGGTTGGTCTCTGAGGTCCCTTACAGCTCCAGATTTGTGATGAGGAGGAGACCAATGGGGTCAAACTACAAATAGAAAAGGGGGCCACTAAATCATACTTACAGATCCTTGTACTTAGAGAAAACTACATCACAGTATTATCTATGTTCTGTTGTATTTTGATTTTGTTAAATCTTCCATGGTTACATTTAAATCAGTGCCGCTGACTCTAGGAAGTGTTGTGTTTGACACCTAGATACTAGATGACTTCTAAAACCCCCCCAGGACTATTATCTTCGGACTCAAGTTTGCGTTTCCCCTGGGGATGGGTCCTTTGGTTGCTGGGGAGTGGGCTGGGAGAAAAGAGTCAGGTTTAGAACTGTGTGTCTCCTGTGGGAGGAAAAGGAGTGGGCATGAGTTTAGTTCCTTGTATGAGTAGTGGGGTAGGGCATCCTGAATCTATTCGAAGAAGTCAGACTGATATGGAAACGGGTTCTATTTGATTGCACCAATATAGCCTATATCAGGTTGTTTCCTGACACATGGAGGAAGGGAGGGAAGGAGGGAGAACTTTGGAAATTTTATGAAAAAAAGAATGTTAAAAATCATCTTTATGTGTAATTGGAAAAAATAAACTACTATTAAAAAGAAGAAGAAGTCAGAGCCTGGATGGAGTTCAAGGGTGGAAGCCTGGTTCCCCTTCTTTCACTAAGGCTACTCTGGACCGAGAGGGTGAACTTTACTCTCAGGAGTGTCTTTATTCCACAAATAAGAGGGACTCAGGTTAATTTGCCTGTCCAAGATCCCTGTCCTCTAGGCCCAGTGAACTTGCACTCCCAATAGAGATCCGGGCTCACAGCTCTCCCCACAACAGGACCGGGCGTGTTGGGACAAAGCTCCGGTTTTCAGCTCTCTGCTTTGGCTCCTGCTGCTAATTAGATACCGGAGAAGCCTGGATGGAGAGGTTCAGAGAGGAGCAGCCGGAGGGGCCGAAGCAGGAGCTCAAGGTGGGGAATCCCTTTCTCAGGTGACTGATGGGGGGCAGGTGAGGGACTCGGGTGGGAGAGGAGCCCTGGAAGGAGATAGATCCCCATAAATGAAGGAGGCAGGGATGGGCAGGTCAGGGAGAATGTGGAGAGAATTGCAGAACAAGCCAACGAGTGGCAGGACAGCTCAGTGGAGTTGGGAGAGAAAGAGTGAGAGAAGAATGGTATGGGAGAGAGAGAGGGGGAGAAGGAGATGAGTGAAGGGAGAGAGGAAAAGTGATGGGGAGAGAGGGAAAGGAGAGAGACAAGGATAGGAGATGAAAGAATATGAGGAGAAAGGAGAGAAAGGAAGCCTAAGAGTTTCAAGTAGAAATGGTGATTGACAGGCCAGCATGGTGTGTGTGTGTGTGTGTGTGTGTGTGTGTGTGTGTGTGTGACAGTGTGACAAGCTGAGTGGAGAAGGGGTCCAGGGCTGGGAGAGTTTGCTCTCAGGACCTCCTAATGGAGTTCTCCAGGGCTGATCTTGGTTTGGCAATGGTGTGTGTTGGGGGGAAAGTGGGGGGTGTCCTGGTCTTTCTGGGCATCAGAGCCCCCTTAGGCAACATTGGAGACTACTGAGCTCCAGGGTCTGGAATGTTCTAGGTCTACAGATGGTTTTTATGAAGGGAAGGGCAGATAATTCTCTGCCTCCTGGGTAGAGGCAGTTGGAACTCCAGCTCACACAACCCATGGTCTAGGGTTGTATCTGAACGTGCATGTGGTTCAAGAGGGGAGACTTGAGAGGGGAAGGAGTAGTCCCAATTGGCTATAGTATCTCCTGGGCCCACCTGCTTTCTTTGCCCCCAAAGGAAGGCCTTCCTGGCCTGCCAGAGCTGCCAGGGTCTCTGGACCTTAGTCCTCTGTGATGAAGACTTTCAACTCAGCCTGGCCCGTCCACTTGGTGAATCATAAGAGATAGGTAGTCACACTGAGAGAGAGAGAGAGAGAGAGAGAGAGAGAGAGAGAAAGAGAGAGACAGAGACAGAGAGACAGAGAAACAGAGAGACAGAGAGACAGAGACAGACAGAGACAGAGACAGAGAAAGACAGAGACAGACAGAGAGAGACAGAGAGAGACAGAGAGAGAGACAGAGACAGAGACAGAGAGAGAAAGAGAGAGGAGAGAGACAGAGAGACAGACAGACACACACAGTGACAGAGAGAGAGAGAGACAGACAGCCACAGAGAGACAGACAGAGGAGAGACAGAGAGAGGAGAGAGAGACAGAGAAACATACACACAGACATACAGAGAGACAGAGACAGGGACAGAGACAGGGATAGAGACAGAGTGTCTTTGTGTGTGCACCCTTCTGAAGTCTGCCTGTTCTTTTCCTTTCTGGCCAGCTCCCCATAGTTCTCATTCTCTGTTAGGGGTTCCCCCCTCAGGTGCTTTCTCATCTCACTTTGGAGCACCCACACAATACATTCTCTATCTCCACTCCCTACCCAGTGCCTCAGGATGCCCTCTGCTCACCTACATCCTTTCCTTGGCATCTCACTGGGGTTTGCCTTTCTATCACATCCACCCCCTTCCCAAAGATTTGCTTTCATCCTCACCTCCCTAAGAATAACTCCCTATTCTGGAGGTAAGGCAGATCTCAGAAAAGTCTCAATAGGAAAACCAATCCAACCGAACTAATTCTCCCTGAATTGTTAATGACTGACAGCTCCTCTTTAGTCTACCCACCGGCTACATTTTAAAAATCAACTAGTAACTATTTAATAAGTCCCTACCACGTATCAGGCGCTGGGGATACAGAATCAAAACTGAAACCATCCCTGAGGAATTCCTGTTTCCTGTAATGAACCCTCTGTTGGTGGAATTTCAGGCTGCAGAAGAGGAAGACTGCATTAGAGAGGGCCCAGGAAGGCATAGCTAATGGAGCAGTGGTAAAGAATGAAAGGGAAGACTTCAAGGCCACCCAGTAAATATTTATTGAATTGCATAGGATTGAGGCTTGTGGGTATAAAATCAAGACTTGGGTAGGAAAAGATGCTAGACTTCAGTTGTGACATCCTTGCCAGAGACCCTTGATTGAGCCCCTGCTCTGAGCAGGGAGAGATGCTGAGAACTGGGATCTGAAATTGTAGGACCTATCTGGATGGATGGGACCCATGCGTACAAAGAGGATGACTGACATGAGGCAGGACTGGGTAATCTGACACACGTCTCCACGGCCTTCTAGATGCTGTAGCCTATGCTAGGTCGTGGGAAGGTGGAGATCCAATCCAATCCAACCCAACAAGTGTTTATTAGTATACTCCCACATACCAGGAACCCTGATATGCCACGGGGATACAGAACCAAAATTGAAAAACAATTCCTATCCTCAAGAAGCTTATTTTCTACTGGAAGAGAAGGGATGGTATGTGTGTATATGCATGCATGTATTATGCATGTGTGAATTGTATGCATGTATATAGTTGTATGGGTGCATGTGTGTATACATGTGCGTGCGTATGTGTATTGTGTATACACATACGTGCATGTGTGCATATGTGTATGTATGTGTATATAGGTATATGTGTGTAGTGGGGATACATGTACATGAAAGTATATGTATGAGTATATATGTGCATACATGCTCACACATGTATGAGTGTACAAGTAGTACATGTGTGCTGTGTGCACATATAAGTATATAGTATATGTGTATTTTGCATGTGTGTATAGGTATGTACATGTGTGTATGTGTGTGCATATGTATTGTGCATATATGTATGCACACACAACATACAGAAAAAAGGCACTACAAGATCATTCAAAGAGGACAGGAGAAATCTGGAATGGCTTCCCATGGGAGGTCACTCCTGAGCTAAGCCTTGAAGGAAGCTAAGGACTATAAGGAAAATAAGTGACAGAGGGGAGGCTGAAAAGAAGGGATGCCTAGCTTGGGAACAGAGAGAAGGCTAGTGTGCCTAGAACCTGCAGTGTGTGAAGGGGAGGTGTGTGAAAGTAGCTGGGAGAATTAGGCTGGAGCCAATGGGGGCTTTGAATGTCAAGCTGAGCATGTTTTGTCTGGGAGGTGAGGAGGATCCAGTGAAGTTCCTTCAGTGGCAGTTGGGGAGTTCCTTCTGAAGAGGACTCTGAATGTCTTCTAAAGGAGGATCACAGAAAATGTGAAGAGAGATCATCTCCTTAGAGCTGGAAAGAACCTTTGGAAATCTGGGGCTTGGCCAGACCTGGGGTGCTTTGGGTGGAGGATGGCTCAGAGCCTGAAAACTATTCCATCCATCAATTAAGAGGCCATTACAGTGACCCTGATGGGAGGTGATGAGGGCCTGAACTAAGGTGGCATCTGTCTGAGTACGCAGATGAGAGATACTGTTGTGGAGGCAGAAGTGATAAGATAGTAAATATCATAGGTAGAATTGGAACCCAGGTCTTCTAGTTCTAAACCTCAAAGACTTTCCACAACACTGTGATGTTCTTTTGTTGTTGTTGTTCATAGATTGACTTCCTTTGAGAGGAAGAGGAAACAATAAGCATTTATTAAGCACTTACTATGTACCAGGCACTATGCTAAGCTCTTTACAAATATTATCTCATTTGGTTTTCATTACAATCCTGGAAGGTGGGGGCTAATCTCATCTCCAGGTGAGGAAACTGAAGCAGATAGTGGGTGAGTGACTTGCCTAGGGTCGCCCGGCTATTGTCTGAGGCAGGCTTTGAACTCAGGTCTATCCTGACCAGTGCTCTATTCACTTTGCCACCTAGTTGCCTCTAAGTGAGGCACTGTAAAAAAGAGGGATGACTTACTAATTTATTGTTTTCTCCCTGTTGGTCTTTCTAGGTGTGAGAAAGGGCCAAGTTCTAGGCTCTGCTGAGGACCTGGAGACTGGAAATCCAACAGTAGTTGGCCACTGAAGGGCATCTCTCACTCTGAGAAACTGGTCCTCTCCTGCCCTTGCACGGCCCAGGGGAGCAGTGTTCACATCAGCCCTGACTCTTGGGATAAGGTCCACACTCAGGTTCTGGCTCAGCTATTTGAAGAGGCTAAGAAGGACTCATCTTGGAGGTGATGTGGGACTGCCATGTCAGGTGGGAGTGAGGACGGAGGCTTCTGGAGGAATATTTGACCTAACTACAAAAAAGGGGGCCACAGAGCTTGGACTTCATTGGACCACTGCCAGTCATGGCACCCACTCCCCCAATCCTGCCAGCTGGCCATGTCCCACAGCCCTTGGAGCCCTTATCACCCCGTCTACAGAGGATCAGGTGGTTCCTGTCAGCCAATGTCCTGCCTGTGGGTGAGTGAAGTCACTGGGCTCTCTTCAAGTTGGGAACTGGGATAGTTTTCTGAATCTCTTACTTCTCACTTTGTAGTCATTGGGCCCTATCTCCTCTCCCCTTGTGGGAGAGATAGTATTGCCCCCACTTGGCACAGGGTAAGTGCCCCTGTGGTATGACTGTGCCAAGGGAGGAGATGAGGCAGCTTCTGTGACTAGCAACAGGTGAATGAGATGGGGTGGCCTGAGAAAAGAGCACTTCCTTCTCTTACATAGGAGAGACTATCACAGTGCTGCTGCCAGGGTTGGAAATGTGTATGTCCTATATCATCCCACTTCCAGATTTCTCTCTCTTTAACCAGCTGAGGTTGAATATGTTGAAGGGGAAGGTGTATGGTTTGTTGAAGGAACAAATTGCCTATAAGGAGAGAATGGAACATCCACCTGAGTGGCTCACCCTTCTGTACCCTTCTCCCCACCCCCCACAAAGATTCAGGAGATGACCAGGATGGATATCTCTCCAAAGGTGGGGGTGGAGTGAGCATGGTACTTTTGGTTGGTTTTTAAATTTTGTATTAATATTTTTTTGTTTTTACATCACCTCTTCCATTTATGTTCCTCCTTCCAGAAACTTATCCCTTATAACAAAGAATAAAAAAGAGAAAAAAGGAGCTCAACAAAACAAACCAATAATTGAAAAAGTCTGAGGTTAAATGCAGTGTTCCACACACATTTGTACAAAGAAGGGTGGGAGTGTGCCTCCTTCTACATCTTCTGGGCCAGACTTGGTTATTATGATTTCATAGCATTTGATTTCGGTTGTTTTATTGTTCTTTCCATTTACATTGTTGTAATCATTGTGCATTTGTTTTCCTGGTTCTACTGCCTTCATTTTGCATCAGTTAATTTAAATCTTCTCATGCTTCCCTGTAGCCATTGTATTTATTGTTACTTAGGTTGTAAGTACATTTCATTATATTCACATGCCACATTTGCTTAGCCATTCCTCAACTGATAAACGTATACTTTGTTTCCAATTCTTTGCTACTACAAAGAGTGCTATGATAAATATATTAGTGTTTGTGGGGACCTCTCTTTTTATCATGGATCTCCCTGGTGTATATATCTTGCAGTGGCATCTCTGGGTCAAAGGGCATGGACATTTTTGTCACTTTCTTATCATAATTACAACTTGATTTCCAGAATGGCTAGACTACAGTATTCACAGCTCTACCAATAATGTATTAGCATGCTTATCTTTCTATTTAACCCCTCAAATATTGACTATTGTTGTCCTTTATGTTTTTTACTAATTCAGTAGAAGTGAGGTGAAATCTCAGAGTTGTTTTTAAAATGGATTTATCTCATTATTAGTGATTCGGGGCAGTCTTTCATTTGGTTATTAATAGTTTTACGTTTGTTCTTTTGAGAACTGTATATTTGTTGTTTGAGCATGATTCTTAAAGGTGATTAAAAACACACTGGCTCCTCCTGTCTCTTGGCTTTCTCAGGTACCAGTGTGAGTCCTAGAGAGAGAAATTCTGGAAATCTTTTATCTCTAAATTATGGATTCTTGTCTAGGAAGGCTGTGGATGCACTATGTGACCGACCTCAGGAGGGTTGTTTAGCATGTGGGGAATGTTGCTTACAGCCTTAGGGGGGCTGTTGGAATAGTCCACAGTGCATGCTTAGAGATCCCTCTGTGGGACATACAATCCCCATAGCAATGAAGCTTTACTGAGCCAATATTCATAGCCCAGAGAGATAGCTTGTTTAATAAACTAGTTCTGAGTCGACACTTGCTCCCCTGAGCAAGCAGTTCTCCAGTGGGGTAGGGAAGGTCCAGAGCTTAGGAAGGATCCATTCTCAAGGTCTTATATGGGTCTTTTCTTTTTGGGTCCCCACTTGGGGAGAAAGAGACTGAGATTTCTTTGGGTTGAAGACAAAAAGGAACCTTTGTCATGATTTGTAGGCTACATGGGCAGTGTGTGGCCTGGCTCCCCCTGTAGGAATTGGTGTGGAGGGTCCAGTGGTCATGGTCTTACATTCATTTTTATATGCCCCTCTCTCTGCTCCTGCCACACCCCATGGCTGCCTACTTTACCCTCGATGCCTGTCATAGTTGGACCCATAAGCATTGAGCATGGAAGTGGAGGAAGGGGATTGTTGTGGGTAAACTATGCCCCTGAGTAGGGCTGACCTTGCCGCCAAGAGCTGATGGTGGTACTAGTCTGCAAGTCAAGTAAAACAAGCATTTATTAAGTGCTTACTATATTGCTAAGTGCTGGGAATACACAGAAAGGCCAAAACAAACAAACAAAATCCCGGCCCCTGATCTCCAGGGGCTCAGAACCTCTGGTCTGAGGAGAGGAGAGGAAAGAAACATGGCTCTGCCCTAGGAAGCCCTCATTTCTGAAGAGAGGAGACTTAGCCCTGCCCATGAGGATCCCATGGTTTCACCAAACTCACTCACAGTAAACAGCTGGAAAGTGCTTACAAAGCACTCTCCCCATTGGCATCTCTGTTGACCTGCAGTGAGTACGAGGTCCCACTCCCACTGGGGGAGGCCCTGTCATCACCCTCCCCAAGGTTTTATGAACTGCCCTGTCTGCTGCCCACAGGGGCATGCTTAGTGCTGCTGCTGCTCATGGAGGATGAATGGGTGCTCTGTCCTTGGAGGACAGGGTGATGTGATGCCATTGGATGTGGGCTCTGAGCTGGTTTTTCAAGAGTGGGGATGGGCTGTGCTGAGGGTTTCACATTCTCTGCCCTGTTTATCACTATAGGAAGGAAGGAAAGAAGCAGGCATTTATCAAGCACCTACTTTGTGCCAGGCACTGTGCATGCTCTTTACAAATTGTGAGCCTCACCATTCTCAGAGGTGGATGCTCTTACTATCCCCATTTTACAGATGAGGAAACTGAGGCAGACAAAGGTTAAGTGACTTGCCCAGGGTCACATAGCTAGTAAGTGTTGGAGGCTGGATTTGAACTTGGGTCTTCCTGAGTCTAGACCAAGGACTCTACCCACTGCATCACCTAGCTGTGATCAACAATCTGGTGCTAGGTCAGGTCAGGGTTCAGACTGAGATCAGAGTCAGGGAACTTGGTCATGGTATGTAATTGGCCTGTAGCTAGGAAAACCTTTCTCTTGTAAGTAAATTGGGGACCAAGTCCTGGCCCTCCACCTTTCACTGCTAAGAGCTGGAAGACCCAGACTTAGGAAGGACGGAAAAGCAAAGGATAAGCCATGATAAGATGGTGGCTATGATAGTGGAACACAGGGAAGGGGCATCATGAGGGTTTTGAATGCTCCTGGAATGGTGGCACCAGCAATTTCTTGGGGGCAGGCTGCCTGCTGATGGTGCCTCTCCTCATGTGGGACAATGGAGGATGGAGTGAGGCGGTCTTGGGGAGGAGAGACATGATCCAATCCATTTGGCCAACGGCAGGGACCCTGCTGGGGAAGGAGCTGCCTCTGCTCAATTCCCCTTAAGGACAGAAGGAACAAGGACATCTCTGTGGGGGGACAATAGGAGGGGAAGGTCCTCAGGAAGGCTTCCAATTTATGCTCTCTTGGGGGATGGGGACACCAAAGAGCTAGCCAAGCCTCTTCCCCAGGAGGCCAGGGCATCAGAATTACTGTCTGGGTTCTCTGACAATCAATTCTCTATCCAGCCTATATCAAGAAGGCAGGTTCCTTCCTGCCTTCTCCCTAAGAAATTAAAATCAGAGCTAGAAGGATTATTAAAATTCAGTGATTTTCAGTCGTGTCTGACTCTTCATGACCCCATTTGAGGATTTCTTGGCAGAGATACTGGAGCGGTTTGCTATTTCCTTCTCCAGCTCATTTTACAGATGAGGAAACTGAAGCAAACTGGTTGAAGTGACTTGCCCAGGGTCACACAACTAGGAAGTATCTGAGGCTGAATTTGAACCCTGGAAGATTCATCTTCCTGACTCCAGGCATGGCACTCAACCCACTGCACCACCTAGCTGCCCTAGAAGGGCTATTAGAGATGTTATTCTACCTTTCTCCTTTCATAGAAAAGGAAGCTAAAGCCAAGAGAGTAGGGAAGAGACAGGCCCAAGGTCATACAGTGAGAGGGTGGCTGAGTTTGGGCTAGGACTTAGGTCTTCTGAGATCTGCTGCCTTAGTTTCCCCAGGGAGAAGGGCCACCCTTGTGTAGAAGAGGAACAGATTTTGAAAGCCACTGCTTTCAAAAGAAAGGGCCCTTGGGTGAGTCTGCTTTCCCTGCCCCTCCCCAGATCCCTACTCAAGATTTTGCTAAGTACTGAACTCCAGCTGTGTTTTTCTGATTGCCACCCAGGAGGCCAGGCTTAGCCCGGAACAGCCCAGACTCCTTCCTCCCTGAGCAACGCTCAGCTCTGTTCTAATCCTGGGTATAATTTTCTCAGTGCTGAGCAAGATAGCAATCTGACCACATGAAAGAATTACAAATTATTCCAGGAGCCCATGGCCTTTTGGGTATTAAGTTGGGCTCTGAGCAGTGTGGGGAGTCTGAGGAAATGGGTCATTTTCCTCCTTCCTGCCTGGAGCAATTAGCATCCTTCTTATCATGTTTGGATGTGTCTGGGTCAATCCCTCCTCTTGTCTTATCTTCCATCGGGTCAGCTCTGAGGAACCTTCTCCACCAAGGAGGGATGGGCTGGCACCTGAGGACATCCCAGTCTGCAACACTCCTTAGTCGGAGGGGGAGGAATGAAGAGAGCAGAGACTTCTGTGTGTGCTGGAAGGAAGAGGAAAAGGGCAGAATAAAGCCGTTCCTGGAATTCCTCAGATTGTCAACAAGCCCTGAGTGTCTGGGGTGTGCTGGGTACTGAAGGAGAATATGCAGAGAGGTAAATGAGCCTGGGTCTCCTGCCATAGGAAGATGTAGGCAAGAATCAGTGCAAAAGATGGGAAGGTGGGGAAGGACTGTGATTCAACTGCCCTGATACCACTTAACATTCTTTTCTCTTTTTTAAATTTGAGATCCAAATTCTCTCCCTTCCTCCAGCCCCTCTCTTTCACACTCTCTCCCTCTCTCTCACCCCATGGAGAAGGTAAGCAACGTGATATCAATTATACATGAAAAATGCAAAACGTATTTCCATATTAGCCTCTTACGTCTTTACCACGTTCCACTTCGTGTTATAGTTCTCTGCAGAGCTCAAACTAGGGTGGGACAACCAGTCCATTGTACCAAGGTAGGGAAATTGGAAGGGGTGGACAGCACCTTCCAGGGGGACACTTCTTCCTCTGACTGCTCTGCTCCTGGCAATGGGGGTATTCTTTTTCCCTGCAGAGGCACCACTTTTTAGAAAGGTGGGACCCTCAGGATAGCCCAGGATGAAACTCCTTAAAACTGACAGCCACAATCCTGGCTCCTGCCGACACTTGCTTCCTCTCATCCTCTCTCTCACCACAGATGAAAATGTTTCTAGTGACAACTGTGGTTAACTGTGTCCATATCTTATTATTCCTCCCCCTCTCCCTCCTTTCCTCCAACTAGACTGTAAGATCCCATTGAGCAGGGAGTATGGCTTACTCATAGGATGCTAGATTTTGAGCCAAAAGGCATAGTAGAGATTCTTGTGTCCAGCCCCCTCATTCTCCAGATGAGGAAACTGAGGACCAGAGTAGTTAAGTCACCACCTAGCACAGTGCCTGCTACACAGCACGTGTTAAATAAATGCTTTCTCTTCCCTCTGAGATTATCCCCATTTTATCCTGTCTATATCTTTTTTGTACATAATTGTTTGCACATTGTCTTTCCCATTAGACTATGATCTCCTTGAGCTCAGGGACTTTCTTTTGCCTTTTTCTCCTCAGCACTTAGCATAGAGTATGCACATAGTAGGTGCTTAATAAAAACTTGCTCACAAAGTAGGGGCTTAATAAATGCTTGCTCACATGGTAGGTGCTTAATAAATGCTTGCTCACTGACGTTAATGTCTCCCCTGTAAGATCATCAACATTTCATTCTGTCTGTATCTTATGTGTACCTAATTGTTTGCCTGTTGTCTCTTCCATTAGATTGTGAGCTCCTTGAGGACAGGGACTTGTCTTTTACCTCTTTTCTTATCCCTGGTGCTTAGCCTGGTGCTTGGCACATAGCAGGCACTTAATAAATGTTTAGTGACTGACTGATCCAGATCGTCTGATTCCAAACCCAGGACTCTTTCTATCCTATTGTGCTCCTTTCCTGTTTCTTTGTCTCTGTCGCCCCTCCCCCACCCCCAGCCCCACCGATGCCTAGCACATTGCTCTGCAGAGGAGCTTCCTGGGTTGTTGAGAATTCATTGGTAGATGCAACCCCAGGGAATAACTTCACTTAATGTCAGGCGAGGCATGAAAAACAAAGGAGGTGTTCTTCTCACCCACGCTATCTGCTGCTGCCTTGGAGGGTGTCCCGCGCAAAATCCAGAGGGACCCAGGATTCTCACTGGCACATGGTGTGGCTCTGCAGGTCCTTATGCTTGTGACTGATGCTGTGGTGATGGCTTCAAGCCCCTAATACCGTAGGATCTTCCGGGGAGATCCAAAGCCATTCTGCAGAGATTGGAATGACAATACACCCTGGAAAAACCAAGAGGATGAAAGGAACATTAGGCAGCTATGTGGTGCAGTGGATAGAGTGCTGGACCTGGAATCAGGAAGATTTGAGTTCACATCTGGCCTCAGACACTTACTAAGTGGGTGACCCTGGGCAAGTCACTTAACTTCTGTTTGCCTCAGTTTTCTCATCTGTAAAATGGGGACAATAATAGTACACACCTCCCAGGGTTATTGTGAGGTTCAAATGAGAATATTTATCCAGCACATTGCAGGCACTAAGCAAATATTAGCTATTCTTATTAGCATATACTAATACTACTAATACTGATTGCTGGATAATGAATCCATTAGTGTGGGTGCCCCACCAACCCTTACAGATCACTGCTCCCCCTGCCCTGTGCCTCACCTTGCTGTGTTTCTTGCGCATTTTGGTAAATTCCTTTCAATACAAGGAGTATTTGTTAAAAAAAAACAAACCAGTAATAATAATGTTGTTTAGTTGTTTTTTAGTCATCTCAGACTCTTCATGACCCCATTTGGGGTTTTCTTGGCAGAGATACTGGAGTATCTGTGTCCTTCTCCATCTCATTTTACAGATGAGGAAACTGAGGCAGAGTTAAGTGACTTGCCCAGGGTCACACAGCTAGGAAGTGTCTAAGGCCAGATTTGAACTCAGGAACAAGAGTTGACTGTAGGTCAGTCACTCTATCTGCTGCACCACCTAGCTGCCTAGTAATAATAATAACTAGCATTTTATATAAGGCTTTAAGGTTCACAAAGCACTTTACAAATTTTATCTCATTTGATCCTCACAACAACCCTGGTAAATAGGTGCTATTATTATTGAATTTTACAGAAGAGGAAACTGAGGCAGACAGAGTTTAAATGACTTGTCCAGGGTCACACAGCTAGTAAGTGTCTGAGGCTGGATTTGAGCTCAGGTCTTCCTGATTCTGAATGCACTATACCACCTAGGTGTCTCTTATTCATTCACTCATTCATTTATTCATTCATTCAACAAACACCTGAGGATATTGAAGAGGCAGGCGCTGGAGTGACAAAAGCAGAAGCATGCCCTGCTTTTAAGGAGCTAACAATCTCCTGGGGGAGCACTGTGTACCAATGAATACAAAATAAACAGTGATATGAGGGGCAGGGGAGGGCCCTAAAGGTTGAGCTGGGGATCAGGTAAGGCCTTGTATAGGAGGTGCCGAGAGTCTGGGTACAAAGAAAAAACAACAAACACCTCCTGCCCTCAAGGAGTTTACACTTTACAGGGTGGTGCCACATGTATAGTGGTCAGTACAGAAATATAATCGGAGAACATGAACAATTCGGCGGACCAGGAAAGATTTACCTTAATAAGGTATCTGAGCCGAGCCTTGAAAAAAGCAAAGAATCTGAAGGGACGTGGGTAAAAATGTGTGCTTTTCAGGCATGAGGCACAGCCTGGGCAAAGGGAAATAGGTAGGAAATGGAACACCATGTTCTTGGCTAGTTTGACTGGAATGAAGGGACAGTGAAGAAGCAGAGGGTGGGAAGGTAGTGTGAAATAAGTTTGGAGGTCTACCTAATGAGCTAGATGCCATTCTGGGTTTGTTTGTTTTTATATTGTCCGGTTTCTAGAGGACTTTCCTCACAACAGCCCCCTGTGGATGGTATGAATATCATTTCCCTCATTGTATGGATGATGGAACAGAAGCTCAGTTAGGTTAAGGGACTTTCCCATGGTCACACAGTGACTGGTTTGAATCCCAACCCTGGTATTGAATACTTGTGTGCTTTCGGCTATATGACTTTACTTGTCCAAGACTCAGTTTCCTCTCCTGTAAAATAGCTAACATGGGCCAGGCACTGTGCTAAATGTTTTACAATTATTAACACATCTGATCCTTACAACAACCCTGGGAGGTAGGTGCCGTTTTACAGTTGAGGAAACTGAGGCAAACAGAGGTTAAGTGACTTGCCCAGGATCAAACAACTAGCAGGTATCTGAGACTGGATTTGAACTTAGACCTTTCTGTTTCTAGGCCCAGAGTCCTCTCTATCAACCAGTGGAAATGGGAGAAAGTAAATTTTTTTCTTCCCCTTTTCCTCCTCTGGGTTCTTCCAAGGCGTGATGTGAAATAGCATAGAAAAAAGCATTTATTAAGTGTTTACTTTGAGCAAGGTTGTGCTAAGTGCTGTGGGGGGCAGTTAAATGCAAAAGAAAAGAGAGTCTCTGCCCTCAGAGAACTTACATTCTAATAGGGGGCTGGTGAGTGGAACCGTTGAGGCCCAGAAGACCACCCTGGGCACTCGGTAAAGGTCTTCATCCAAGAATTGCAGAGTCTTTTTGGTGACTCAGTAGGTGCTCGCCATCCCTGTGGAATCTCTGGGGCCCGTATGCTGCATGTGAGTGGCCAGTTCTCTCCCTTACCCTCACTCCCACACCTTCCCTGAGGCCCAGACACCTGGGACCATACACTACCGGGGTGGGGAACCTGCAGTGTCCAGGCCACATGCGGCCCTCTCAGTCCTCAAGGGATCCCTAAGAGGATTTGTTCTGTGAAGTTTGGATTAAGTCAAAAGGCCGCACTTGAGGATCTAGAAGGCCACATGTGGCCTCAAGGCCACAAGTTCCTAGACTCTGTCTGGCCAGACAGAGATGAGAGACACTCCGATCGGAACACCTGAAGAATTGGGCAAAGCCACTGGGGTAAAGGAGAGGGGATTGCAGCCTCAAAGAGTCTGAACTGGGGGTGGGAGGTGTGGGGCAGGGTGGGGAAGAATTCCTTCTGAGTTGTCTCTGGCTCCCCCCATTTTCCTCAGGCTCCCAAGCCAAAGGTTGATGTCATCAGGGTTGGGGGATTTCAGAACCGACACTGACATGTCTGGCCTCCTAGTGCCTTCTATACCAGTCGGCCCCTGCCTAGGGAGTTGTGGTTTCAGGGTCCTATGCCCCAGACGCCTGGAGAGAACTCTTCTTCTTGGTCACTTCCTTGTAACTGGGGGGGCTGATCCAGAAGGGTACCCTCATTGGAGAAGAGGGTGGGAGACAGAAGGAAAGGGAAATGCCCAAGGAAAGGGGAATGAGCTTGTACTCACTTGTGCTGGGGTGCGTTTGGTGTGTGCAGTTGAAGAGAGAGGTGGGTGGAAGGGGAAAGGGTAGGGACTTTTGTGGGTAACCTTGTGTCTCTCTGCCCGTATTTCCATGTGACTGGTGTGTGTGTATGGGTCTATCACCACGCATTGTGCATGAGTATTTCTGTATGTTTTTTATGTGTGTATGGGTACCTGTCTCTGATAGCATGCTTTGCAGGCGTGTGGGTGTGTGGGGGTATGTGTGGGTATGCCGGTAGTCATGTGTGTTTGTGTCTGTATGTCTGTGTCTATGTGTATGGTTTGTGGGCATGTCTGAGTTTGTGTCTGTGGGTGCCTGCACATGTATTTCTCTGGGGTTTCCTGTGTGTGTGTGGGAGGTGGGATTGGCTCCCTATCCTCCAGTGAGACACTTGGCTGTGGTTGGGGGACAGGGCACAGGAGAGGCTCTGGTGGGCTCTGGGACTGAGGGACATCAGTAACTGAAGCAGCCTGAAGCCTGAGTGTAGGAGGGGAAGGCTGGGAATGGACAGGACAGAGCAGCAGCCTCACTGAGGAATCCTGCATTCTCCAAATGTGCCGGGACAGGTTTGAGTCTCCTTTGCCCTGTGGATATGTCGAAAGAGCTCTGTGCAGAGACACGTACAATACCCCCCCCCCCGTTTGTTCCAAAAGTTTCTGGCCTGGAATGGAGGGAGGGGATGATGTGGGCACCTGGAAGCTCCAGCGGGAGAGGACTCAGATGGGATAGGGACGAAAGACTTGTGTGAACTGGCCACTGCCCTCTGAGGTGCCCCTCCCCGGAACTTTAACTTTTACTCCTTCCTTCCTTCCTTCCTTTCCCTTCATCCCTCCTTCCCTCCCTCCCTTCCTTCCTTCCTCCCTTCCTCTCTTCCTTCTTTCCTTCCTCCCTCCCTCCCTCCCTCCCTTCCTCTCGTCCTTCCTTCCTATCTCCATTCCTTCCTCTCTTCCTTCCTTGGCTCATATCAATCAATTCAACATTGCTATTGCTCCTGGAAAAGGTATATTAATACCTATGGTTCTATTAACCATCCCTGTGACTCTTCAGATCAAAACATCCTTCCCGGACACCACTTCCCTTTCTGTATCTGTTGTTGTTCAGTCATTTCAGTTGTGTCTGACTCTTCATGACCTTATTTGGGATTTTCTGGAATGGTCTGTATTTCCTTCTGTAGTGGATTAAAGCAAACAGAGGTTAAGTGACATGTCCAGGGTCTCATGGCTAGTGAGTGTCTGAGACTGTGTTTGAACTCAGGTCTTCCTGACTCCACTACCAGCACTCTATGAAATTATAGGTCTGGTTTAAAAAAAAAAGTGGGCCAGGACCTCTGCTAGGTGCTGGGGAGACCAAGATGAAGGAAGACCCAATTCTTGCCCGCTTAGCTCACATTACACAAGGGGAGGTAAAAATAGAATGTGATCAGCGTCTAAGAGATATGCAAATGCCAGGCTTCCTTCCCAGGTGTGTGTGCAGTTGTCCATGCCTGTGTGTGTGGTGGGGGGAACTGGAGGGGGGAGGCTGGGGGATGTGGGAAGGAGAGGACCTCACAGAAAGCTTCATGGAGGGGGGATGTTCGAAGGGGGCCTAGAAGGAAGGGAAGGAATTCAATTTCCAGAGAGATAGAGAGATCTTCTATTTTGCTTTCTTAATAATTACTTAAGCCTCTATCTAATCTCCCTTTCTAGACAATGAGCTGCCTGAAGTGCTCAGCACCCAGTGTCCATAATCCTTAGTAAATGATGGGAGGGAAGGTATGAGGGAGGAGTGTGGCAAAAAGCAGGTTAGATTTTAGTCCAGAGGCCTGAGTTCAACTCTTGACTCTGCTAGTTAAGTAACTGTGTGACCTTAGGCTCATCAGTCAATCAACATTTATTAAGCTCCTACTGTGTGACCTGCACTGTGTTCAGTACTGAGAATA